ACTGCATCTTATTATAAGATGTGCTCAAACAATCTTAAAGGCTAGCTGGAGGTTACAGCTTGCTAAAATAGATTCACTCCACCTCACTACTTTCCCCTAGCTTAAAAGAGTAATATGGCCATATGAGATTACATAGATACAGTGTGTGATACATTATTGCTAGTACATTAAGAATTCATGAAGTATAAACAAAAACCCCAAAATAATTCAGCTAAGGCGCTTTTGCTTGCAGAATCGAACCAAAGCACGCTTTTTTAATCACCATACCTTCACACTTCTCCTGTTTTAAATGCATTTATCATTGTCATGGGGAAAAACTTTAAACTTTCTTCCTCGTCTCTTCTTTTTGATTATCTTCTCCCTTTTCAGTAACTCTCTTACCCTCCTTCTCCATCCCTTTCTTCAGTGCTCATCTCTATCTGTGTCTAATTGCATTTGAATTTTTTTGGTGGGGGGGGGGGAGTATAATTTTGCGATAGCCTGGTGTTTCAGCAAACCCCTCCACCCTCCCTGAGCACCCTCCAGTCCATTTGCGCCTGGCTCTGGGAAGGTTGGTTTCCTGGGCTGCCCTGGAGGAAATATCAGATGACCTGGCACTCCACAGCAAAACCCAGGTCATCAGGGAAGGCTCCTCTAACCGTATCCCTCCCTTGTCCCCCTCTCATCCACTTCCTGCTTTCAAGTGCAGGGCAAGGTCAAGGCTTTGAGGATGCATTCCCTAGACTTCACCATGAGGCAGGCTGGAGGCGCTGTGCTCTGCTCTCTAACCAAACTTTGCTCCATCTATTCTTTCACATCTTCCTGCTCTCTCATATTCATTTCATTAGCTCAAGCTTTTACTGCAATCAATACGGTTGCTAAAGTTAGTTTTTCTAATACAGCTATTCATTAAGTGCATTTTCATTAGTGTCACTAGAGCACCAGTATAACTGGAATAATACAGTAATGGACAAACATATGCTGTAATTTTTTATTTTTTTTTTGGGTGATGAAGACCAGATTTAAATGGCTGAGCTCACAAAGAATGAGTCATTACTCTATGTTTTTACATAATGTGTAGTAGATTGTGGGTTTTAAAAACTGACACTGAATTCTCAGACAATGAGGTAACTGTGAGTGTTTCCATGTAGGGGTGGCACAAAAGGAAAGCAGGGAAGACGTGTTTTGTCTCGCGGCTTTGTATCATTCCCACCTCTCATTTTCTGTCAGCTGAAATGCGCTGTGGATGCAGAAGGAGACGTTATTGATGGTGTTTAGAGACAGGTGTCTGATGTGTCCTGAGATAATGCCAAAAGACTCCTATCTCTCCTTCTAATGGAACAGCGACAGTTGTTTCAAGTGATCAGGCCTGTCATCCAAATGCTGAAGCGTTGGTCCTCTCAACACTTCTCTTTTCTCCCATAAATCAAAGTTGCTATTGAGATGGAGAATCAGAAGCTACGGCAAAACAATCTAGCCTCAAGTCATCCCAGAACAGTGAATCTTCTATGGAATATCTCCGTCAAACATTGGCGTCATGAAGAAAGAAAGGGCAGAGGTCTAATGAAATCCGTCTGATCGGGTCTAGAAACATAAATTTTCAGACAATTAGAATACGGGATGAGTCAAATAGTCTACATTTTTTTTTCTGAGAGTTTACCTCTCCTGCTCCCATTTCCCCCTTTCTTGGTGCAAAGAATTGAAATGGGATGAATATGTTAGTGTCATCTCCAATTTCAAATAGGTAGACATTTCAAAAGCTGATTCTCTCTGGAGAAAACGTTGTACCTCTAGACTGAAAATATCATTTGAAAAGCGAGACAGTAAAAGCCAGTCATCTCAAAATGAAAATTTTCTCATGGTGGCTTTCCTTTTCACCCCGGCGGTTATGGGAAAGAAAAGAATGAGAGTGAGTGAGACGGTGTGTGTGGAGGCTATGAGAAGAGAAAACTAAAGGGGTGACACATTGATGAGTACAGGAGTGACACCCTCTGAAGAGCATGTTAATAACGTGCCAGGCACAGACAGGTAACCGGTAATCAGGCCTTCTGATTGTAACTCGGTAGACGGAAACAGACACACACACCAACACTCTTGGCTCTCCATCTCCATCAGCCCTGAAACTGCTAGACTGCTCCGTCATGTTCTGGGGCGGCCCCCTCTGCTAACAGTGTGTCGCAGCTTTTACAGAGACAAAAGAAACAAATGAGATGGCTGGGTTACAACAAACAGCTCCGGGTTGTTCTTTCCCCTGGAAAATGAAAGGGCCTCTTTCTTTTTTTTTTTTTTTTTACCCCCGCCGTGTCAATTAGAGGAGGTATTGCTCATAGTTACTCTCCGGTTCACTGTTAGCTTGTGCTGATTATTATTTATTTAGATCAGGCTTGCAAGGGAGTTTGCCTTAATTTAGGCTATGCAGAATACATCGCAGTAAGTGATGTATTCTGCATATATCGTGCATTTTATTTTAACAACACCTAGAGATAAAATCCCAGCAAGGATCATGTCAGCAGGGAGGCTGAGGTATAAAGGAGCGAAGTACAAACAACCTTGCATAAGGTGGATTCTGACCTAAGAGTGAGAGCGAGGTAGGAGCTGTGTGTGCAGAGAGCCTCCTCTGAATATTTCCCCAGTGACGGAGAGCAGGCCAGAGGCAGTGAGGTCAGCAGATAGAGTCCAGAGCCCATTGACAGCTGCTGGTTTGACTTTGATGCACCATCAGTGTTCTGCGCACTGCTTGCCCGTTTCCCCCTCCACCCCTCTTGCACTAACCCGCAAGCGTGTTTGCTCAACCTGAACGCATGCTAGCCTCTCATTATGCCGCCCATGCAAACTTTGTCTCCTTGCAGCTGTTTAATGGCTGCACGTCTGTTTTTGTTTGTTTCCTCACCATAAGATTATTGCACCTTTATGGCTGGTCGGGGGGTTGGAATAATCCCTGGCATCTGTTCAGAGAGGGAGGGGTGAGCAAAGAGCCAGAAGTAGAGGCATGCTAGCTCTTTTTTCCTTTTTTTTTTTTTGGTTTTAATTTTTCAAAATACGAGACCATGTGGCCCCCTATTTCATACTGAGGCTGAGACTGTGACTTGACTTTAAGACAAGAGTGATGGGAAGGGCTGTGTGCTAACAGGCGCAGAGGTCACTGAAGGAGCTTCCCGCTGCCATTTATCCCTCCCAAAATGAACACAGAATAGCAGGGATTAATCTAATCACTGCCGTGTTAGCATAATTTACGTATAAATGTATGCAGAAAAGTAACGTCACTGTGACCCTATTAAGCATTTTTTTTCACCTTCGAACAATGTAATTGTTGTTGGCTCAACTAACGTCACACATTCTCCGTATGCTTTCATATCAACAGAACAAGTTTGTAGCTCATCCAATCGACAAGGTTGTGGACTGTGGCTACTTTTCATTTGCTTTATTGTTTTTTTTTTTCTATTTTATGTCGAAGCATAAGTTGTAAAAGGGAGGAGAATCCCAGAGCTCCTCTTGACAGCCTCATCCCCTTCCTGTCTTTTTCTTAATTCAAGACTCCATCTTGTCATTGCTTCGGTGCCTCCGGTCGTTATGGCAAGAGAACGGGAAGTTAATCAACACAGCATTATCTCCCAGCCTGCACCTGGAGGCAACAGTGCCAGTCATGCTACCACCCCCTCTCTGTTGGGACCCCTGCCAGCCTGGGAACCCCTCGCACCGCAGCGCCCTGCAGCATCCCTATGGGCTATCGCCAGTGTGCTGTGTCTGTGCCAGGTCACACTTGTGACACAGCTTTGAAGCGCCATTGGGAGCCTCCTCGCAGTGGTGCATACTTTAGTGTGTGCATTCAAAGGGAAAAAGGAGGAAAGAAACAGTCCAGAGGAGACTCAAAAACAACTGGCTTGGTTTTTTTGGGAAGGCTTTGTGGTGCCACATACTGTACAGTATGCTTAATATTTTTCCAGTCTTCCGCTTTAGAGGTTTAAAGCTGCCAGTTTTGCAGATATTATTGCCCCGTCCGGACAGGTTGAGTAACAACATAGTCTCTCAGAGGAGGCCTCTGTCAAACTCAAGCTTCACACGCCAAGCAAGCCAATATTGGAACAGCACATTTACTCTTAAAGGTTTGTTGACACTCCAACATGAGGAGAGACGCGCGTCCTTAGAAACCGAAAAGACAATGTTTTGTGGAAGATGGCAGCAGGTCTGTCCTTGTGTCTAGCTCTCTCTAAGAGTCTGACAAATGTTCTTGCTGAAATGTGAATTGCTGGCTGTCGCTGGTAATCATTAGGTTGTCTACCAGCATCCAAAGTGCTTTTATTTCTGCCCATTAGTTTGGTGAGAAAATGGCCGGGTATGGTCTAGCGTGTTCCCCCTTACAGTCAGACTGATGCAGTAGGCAGGGCGAGCATGGGAAACATGAAAGTGTTTGAAGTATCTCTATTTATGCCAGTGGCAGTTTGGGCTTTTTTTTTTTTTTTTTTTTTAACTTCAGTGTCTATAGCATCTCTTTGTACACAACTGACTCCAAAGGATCTACAGCCTTTTCTGAAGTAGCAGTACACACACATGTCAATATTGTGAGACTGGCGTATAATTATTATTCAAAGGTTAAAGAGTGGATTGATCCATAGAGGAGTGTCAAGGGCAGATCAAAGGGATTTGGGGGAGGATCGGACCAAAAATGTTAAAAGCTGCTCACTCTCAAACACAGAGACGTCAATCTTTCTGAGAGCACCTTGATGTCCTCAGAGGAGAACTTGATCAAAGCTTTCGTAACAAAGATGGTCTCAGAAGATGATCTGACCTCAGCTGCATTCCACTTCTGTCTTTCATTTTACTTTACCAGTCTGCATTTACCTGCCTGAACTCCCGAGCACTGCCCCTGTTTCCGTCTTTCCTGTGTTTGTGCTGCTGGTTAGACTGTCTGAATATCAATGAAGCAGTCTCACCGATGTATTACAAACACAAGAGAACAGTGATTAAAGATGACATATCTAAGCCTCACTCCCTTCCTCTCTCCTCTCTTCTCTTTTTCACAGGAGATCGCAGCTTACTTGATAACATTTGAAAAGCATGAAGAATGGCTAACGACATCCCCTAAAACAAGGTAAGACAATTACACTTCTGCCCTCTTTTAAAGCATAAGTTAAGATTCATAGCCCCACAAGTATTACATTCAGGGAGCCAAAATTTCCATTTTTGGTTTTACATATTTTTTTTATTTTTTTTTTTCACTCAGACAATTTTCCTCATGCACAGCTTGCAACCACCTTCAAGTTCAGTGTAGGATGTTTAATATTACAGACTGCTCATGGCTGTTCAGAAAAGTTTACAGTTTGCAGATTAATGATAGAATATTAATATTGACTAATAATTGCCTTATCGCACACCAATTAAAATGATATCCACTGGTGCAGCATCTGCTTTGAATGGTATGTTAATGTGTTCCTATCCATCTGTACATCCACCACTCAGCTGTCTGGGTCACACTTTACACCCACATGTGGAACAAAATGCCAAGAGCTACTGTGATATTTGAAATAAAATAGGGGTCCCGGCACTGCACTTCATTTATTTTGCTAATGTATGCTGATACATATAGGGCCAATTTGCAAATGAAGAACATGTCCTTATGGCCTTTCAGCAAATTCTAATGCATGAAATTTAATGTCAGTAAATGTATTTGTTCCAGAATATGCTGCGATGTAATTATCTAACATATGCTGGATAATAATTAATAATACATGTGATTTTTTGATACTGTTCCTCTATATTTGACAGCAGTAGACAGCTCTTTGTTTGATTAGCTTTGGCTAATCTTTTTTTTATATTGGACAGCTCCAGTATTGGCGTCATTGGCCTCAAATGGACTGTCTCAAGCGTTACTGCCACACTGTTAGACCACGCAGTCATTTCACTGCTACAGCAAATACAGCCTGTTCACACAATCACCCCTTCACTAAAGTTTACATGTTCGATGCATTTGGAATCAGCTCAGCTATGTTAAACCTTTCTTTATCTTTTTTTCTGTGAGCTGGACTTGCTATGTTGGCATTATTAGCAATCCTCATCCATGTGTAAATGGACCCTGGGCTTAGTGACATAGAACCCATTGCTCACGTCTCTCTCCCCACCCCTGCTCTCTTCCACTGCCTCGGAGGGACGTTGATAATAGTTCTGCATAAAGACACTGCCAATTAGAATATGTTCTCTGGTGTAATTATAGGCCGAAAGAGCACTGAGCTCACCTCTGTTTTTTCATTCCTTTTTAAAATGTTTTTATTTATTTTCAAAATCAAGAATTCCCCTTCCTCTCAAGCCTCTACTCACCAAAAATGAATCCAATGCCAGGCTCAGTCAATCATGAGATGCAGTCTGTATTGTTGAAATTAGGATCACGTTTGTTACACTCTCTACAATATGCATGGGCTGTTTTCTTGCTGTAGGAAGGAAAACATATAAAAGGGTTAAAATAACGTCCTATTTTAACCATGTTTTTGCTACTACAAATGTCACAGTCGTGGCACCCTCCTGCATGGGACGGCCAAAAAATGACTCGTGTGTGAGTTGTGAGAGACCTTTGATCCGGTGACTTTCCATCCAAATGGTCCTCAGGATGCTCACGGCCGCAGTCTGTCACCACTGCCTGTCTGTTATGCAGTAGCCGGTGTGCTCAGGGATTTCAACCCAGTGTCACATCTCAGTACAGGTGCTGATATCCCAGACGTGTCATCTGGGAGCAGCTTCTAGTGTCCACCTACAGATCACCTGACAACACAACAGCACATCCCATGTTTTTGAAGAGCCGTCACCGTGGGACAAGACGTGTGTGTTTACTGCATGTGTGTGTGTTTCCCAAGAGGGGAGTCAGGGGGAAAAGGTTGTGAAGTGTTTGTATTTTTCCAGATGTCAGTGAAAAGCTGGGGTGTAGTGATGGATGTTGTGGCCAGGAAAGGTTAGAGGGAGTGAAAGGATGTGGCATATTTGTGTGATTGATGGGGGCTGATTGATGGCAGGCCTCTTTATGAAAAGCTTTCTGCACAAGGTCACAGGTTAAAGGTCATTCTCGGGACACCTGTGGCTAAGTGCTCCCTTATCGTTTGTCATCGCGCATCTTCGGTTGCATGTGGGTCGGCGTGTTTGCATTTGATTGTGGGTGTGCTGTCTGCGTGTCTGTGTGTGGGTTGACCCCTGTGGGGAATAGGCTAAGTAGGCTAATTCTCCCCCAGCCAGTGCCTTTAGACCGGGTCAGCAGGGTATGATGGGAGGCAGAGATAAGCAGCAGGGTCATACTCAGAGAGGCACAGCGCTGCATGGCTGCACTGCATGCATGTAACAACTCTGACACATGCAGGTCATAAACATGGGAGTGGGCCACAGCCAGAGCTCAAGGAGCTGACGCCAGCTGTTTGATCAAGGTGACACGCAACACAGGACATGCCCTGAATAGAGATGGCATTCTGTCAACATAAGGAAGACAAGATGAAGTGGACCAATTGCATACATGCACAGATGTATTTTACAAGGCTAATGCTGATGTGCAGGAGCGAAGCCCGTGTAGTAACAGTACAGCCAGTGCTGTCTTTTGTTTGGGTCTGTTTTTGTTTGTTTATCATTTCAAAATCTGAAGCATGCCAGGGGAGAGTGGTGGAATGCTGAGTGATTGATGTGCTTAGCTCTGGTAATACACATTCCCTTTCAGATAGGAAGTGCAACAGTGCTTAAAATCAATACCAGTGTTCTCCCACTGACTGCTTGAACAGCACTACAGCTAATTCAGGCCGCACCTGTCAGAGCTGGGGAAATCTTTCCCTACTCGGGCCTTACACTTTAATTTACACCCACAGCCTCGCAGGCTTCCATTTCCATTAAAGGGAGAGCCTGGCATTATGGCTTTAATGAAGGCCACGGCCAGGCTGTGATTTAAGATGGCCGTTACCCCGTACCTTCACTCCACAGGAGGGAACACACTTAAAGGGGAGAATTAGGATTTTCCTCTACTGCATCCTTCCAGATAGCCATAGTCATTCTTTCCTTTTGCCTTTTTAAAGATGTGTCCGTGTTGCTTCACCTGATGGGATCTGAAGGCGCCTGTGGGAGAAGGGTGAAAACAGAAGGAAGGCAAAGAATTGTGGTTCCAAATCTAGACAATAACATTTTATTTGACCTCATCATGGGTGTAACATTGTGCTCCTGTTGAGAGCAGGCATTCATTGTCCATCATAAATGACACAAATGTCTCCTCGAGGGGCTTTCTCAGAGGTGTTTGAATGCTGACAGATGGAGTAACTATTGACTAGATGGTGTCACAGATTGGTCAGCCCAAAGAGCTAATGGACACCTGTGTGTCGTATAGAGATAGCTCGTTATCCCGAGCAATCCCTCTAAACATAACACGGTTTCATGGTGGAGCAGTTGCACATTAGTGTTTCTTGTCTCCACTGTTTGTTTTATAGGATTGGTTAACAGCAACCCATCTCAAAACACAACAGAGAGAGAGAGAGCTTCTGCGCCTGTCATGTGTGTGTTTATTTATATAACCTCTCACTTGCGGAGTATAAAGCTACAGTAGACTTGTTGTAGCTGAAAGTTGAAGTGGTGGGTTGTGTCAGCTATTTGCCTTGACTTCCACATAAATTTGGAATGCATAAATTTACACATGTGCTTACATGACCACAGAGCACACACACACACACACACACATACACACACACACACTGACACACCCTCGCTCTCTCTCTCACACACACACATTGTATATTGAAACTATCAAACAATAAGCACCAGTCCTTGGAGGGCCCCGCAATGACACTGAACCTAGCCGCCCCCACGTCCCAGCGCAATAGCCCTCTCTCCTCCCACATCCACAGCAACAGCAGCAGCAGCACTCCAAAATGAAACCGAGTCCCTTTAGACAGCTTCCAAAGACAATGCTTTTATTAAAACCTACAGCAGTGGCGCCACCCCAGAGGCGCGGGTACAACAACAACAGAGTGGAGCAGAACTGAGAGGCAGCCTGAAATCTACTAATGACTGTTTGTTTGCCATTGTGTATGGTGTTTGCTATTGTGTATGGAGCCTGTGCAGATCGTGGCGTGTGTGACTGTCGGAAGGAAATAGAGGGGATTGTGTTTACGCATGTGTGTACATACGTAAATGTACTCATGCGTATGCACACAGTATGTCTGCGAGCTTGAGAGACCGTGATTATGCATTTGAAAACGGCATTGTGGATGAACATATGCAGGCATTTATGAATGTATTGCGGTGGCGCGTGTGTGCGTAATTACAAGTGAAGCTGAGTGTGTTTTGAATTAACAATAGAGTGCTTGTGTATGCTGCATGTGTGCCTTTTTAATAAGAGAGGGTAGTATCTGGGTGAGTCTGTCACTGTGACTAAGACCTCTCTAGGCCTATGTGTAAACTCCGTTTCTGTCACCAAGTCTGGCAAATGGTGTGAGGAAGTGCTGGACTTTCTGCGTGCGTGTGTGCCTCTCTGTTTATGTATGTTGTGGTGGACCGCTGATGTGTAGGATGTGCCTGAGAAGGGCGTCTGATAGTGTTTGGTCCTAATGCTTTGTGGCATTCGTTGGCTGGCAGAATTTCAGAGGAGAGTGGAAGAGGACAGGAGCAGCAGGAGAGGGAGTGAGAGAGAGGCATAGGAAAGGAAAGAGAGCGGGGAGATGGCACGAAGAAAGGGGGATGCATACAGAAAAAGAGCCACAAAAGATAAAGAGGTATTTGATAAGATCACATTGAAATGAAGACGGTGGGACATATGGCACTGAATCGAGTCCGAGTTCTGGGAAAAAAAAGCCAGCATGTCAAGTAAATGCGAAGAGACTGTTGGGAGAGGTGAACCAGTGTGTTCGCCTGCGTCTCTTTCCTGTGCTTGTCCTTATTCTCTTCTGTTGTTTTTATCCCAGCTCATCATGAGGAAAAGTTTAGTTTGTTGCATAGTGACACTTGGTTGCCCCATTGTGTCAGGCCCTGGAGGACACTGTACCCCGCTGCTTCCAACCCTGACAAGGGCAGCCATGCCCACCTGGGGCCTTGCGAGCTGGGTAAAATAAAGCCCACCAGGGAAAGCAGAAAGGACAGGAGTGA